GGCAGTTGGGGAGAGTTCTTTCCTAGAACAGTCAAGACAGGAAGCTGACCTGAATAACCTCCTGACTGGGATGCCTGTGCATACTGCAGGTGCTAAGCCCCCAGAGCAGGCCCCCCCATCTCTACCTGTGGTGGGCTCAGGGAAGGGCTCTGGGGTAGCTGTGGGGCGAGCAGCCAAGTACTCTGAGACGGACCTGGACACGGTGCCCCTGAGGTGCTACCACGAGACCGACATCGATGAAGTGCTGGCTGAGCGGGAGGAGGCTGACTCGGCCATTGAGAGTCAGCCCAGCTCCGAGGGTCCGCCTGGCACTACCTGCCCACCTGCCCCACGTTCCAGCCCATGCCTTGGCCCTCATCCCAGCCTGGGCAGTGGCAATGAGGACGAGGATGAGGCAGGTGGGGAAGAGGATGTGGACGACGAGGTGTTTGAGGCCTCAGAGGGGGCCCGGTGAGTGGGGGAGTGGGAGAAGATAGTGGCTTGCTCCTTCCCACTGGCCCAGAGGCAGAGCCGGGGTCAAAGGGACTGGAATAGAGATGAGGGTAGGGCTGGGAGGGTCAGACCCAAGCTGGTGGTACCAACAGGGTGGTGTGGCAGGAGATTCTGAACAGAGGCCTGAGGTCTGGCAAAACAGTGGGGATGCGGAGGGCATCGGCAAGAACCCAGGAGGGTAAGGGGCAGCCAGGATAGAGGAAAGAGGTTCTAGCGAAGAACAGGACAGAGTGAGAGGCAAGAGGCAGGAATCAAGCCAAAGGGTATGGGAGCATCAATCCGGATCCTGGATTCTGGCGGGAGAGTGGGGAATGTGGGGGCTTTCCTCTCCGTCTCACACCCCACTGCAGCTTGGAGCCTCATCTTCTTCTCCTAAGATGTTGCCAGAAATAGAAATGGGATGGCAGAAGGGGAGAGGATCAGGGAGAAGGAGGAGAAAGGGAGATTAGCAGGGAGGGAGAGAGGAAGGGGATTGGGTGCTAGGGACGGGTAGGGATGGGGTGCCCCAGAGGTACTGAATAGCTTGGAGGACTGGTGGGGTCCCTCTACCCAGGTGTCTTTTTTAGGGGGTACAGACTTGTGAAAAGGAGATGATAATCCCCTTTACAGAGTCTGTATGAAAGTTCAACGAAATGCTACCTGAGGGTCCTCTGGGCCCCTGATCAGAGATTCTCCCTGCCTCTGCAGGCCAGGCATCCAGATGTCTCACCCTGGGCCTCTCAAGTCGCCTGTGCCCTTTCTACCTGGGACCAGCCCTTCAGCTGATGGGCCTGACTCTTTCAGTTGTGTGTTTGAAGCCATCTTGGAGTCACACCGGGCCAAGGGCACCTCCTACACCAGCCTCGCCTCACTGGAGGCCCTGGCCTCACCTGGCCCAACCCAGAGCCCCTTCTTCACGTTTGAGCTGCCTCCCCAACCTTCTGCCCCCCGGCCTGACCCAACTGCTCCTGCCCCACTTGCCCCTCTTGAACCAGATTCTGGTACCAGTTCTGCTGCCGATGGGCCTTGGACACAGAGAGGGGAGGAAGAGGAGGCAGAAGCTGTAGCCAAGCAGGCCCCAGGGAGGGAGCCCCCTAGTCCCTGCCACTCAGAAGACAGCTTTGGGCTGGGGGCGGCTCCCCTGGGCAGGTGAGTGATTCCTTTGGTTTCTCAGACCTGAGGTCCCCAGGGCCCTAGGAACAGCTGTTCCAAAGGACAGAGTCTGAGTGTGAAGATGTAGTTTATATTCCTGAAACCTGATTGGGGTGCTTAGGGGATGCAGATATCTCTTTTCCCATTTGGAAGACTACTTCCACTGGCTGTGAAGGGGAGCCCCTCACAGTCAACCCGCTTGGTCTCAGATCCAGTGACTTGAGAAACCGTGATTCAGGATTGAAGGGTGCCTAGAGAATAGGCTCCTCTCTCTCCAGGAGGGCCTTTTCTTCCCCAGATAGAGCCTCTAACCTGCTTAGAATTTCTGTCATCTTACCAGCCTGGAGGTTTCTCCCAAAGATGAAGCCACTCGCCTCTCCCATTGCCTCCCTCCCATGTCACTTCCCCTCTCCAATCAGGAGTCTCTCACCCTTCTCCAGGAAGTCCATTCACCAGTCCAACCTTTCTGCTCTCCCCTCTGCCAGCTACCCTCTCAGTCATGGAAGCCATGGCAACAGGAGGGGGTGGCCAGGGAGACAGGGTTGCCTAGCAACCAGGAGTTTCCGGCCTCTGTCTCTGGGTGACAGGTGGCTTTGCCAGTAGAGCAGCTGGAGTGGGAAGGGAAGGAGAGGAGGAGACAGGGAATGAGGGGGTGCACTCTGACCCCCGAACCCTCTACCCTAGAGATTGTTTCTTTGTGGGTGAAAGAGAAAGAGCAAGGAGAAAGCTCGTCTCCCTAAAAGGATGAGGAAGAAAGACATAGGAGCAGGAAGGTGTCCATGCTGCCCTTAAATCTTTGTTTGACCATCTACTGTTCCTCTCTGACATCCTATCTATACCACCTTTGCCTGTACTCTCAGACATAAAAGGCTATGTTCTGAGTATAGCCAATGTGGGGATGGGGCATCTATGTCTAATAACAAACTTAGGGAGTTTTGGGGAAGCAGCCAGAACTCCCACAGCAGCAAGATGCATGTGGGTTAGACTAGAGGCAGGACTTTCCACAGAGAGGTGGTAACGATGGAGTAGGCTGATGGAGGAAACCTGTACAATCTCTTTCTCTGGAGAAAAGAAAATGTCTTCCCTGTGTCCCAGTCTCCTCTTCTCTGTCTTCCGGGTCTGGAGGCAGAGGAAGGATCTGGATGGCCTCTGAGAGTCTGCCCCACCTCTGAGCTGGTGTTCTACCCTGGCAGTGAACCACCCCTGAGCCAGCTGGTATCCGACTCAGACTCAGAGCTGGACAGCACAGAGCGGCTGGCCCTGGGAAGCACAGACACCTTGTCCAATGGACAGAAAGCAGACCTGGAGGCCGCGCAGCGCCTAGCTAAGAGGCTGTACCGGCTAGATGGCTTCAGGAAGGCTGATGTGGCCCGGCACCTGGGCAAGAAGTAAAGCCACTGGGCTGCTATTGAGAAGGGGGGAGGGGGATGCAACCTGTGGGCAGCACCTCCACATACCCTCTATCTAATGCTCCTAGATCTCTAGGTAACCCCCACCTGGCCCCTTGACACTTCCCCTTGAGACTCTATCTGTCTCTGCTCTGCCCACAGCAATGACTTCAGCAAACTGGTGGCTGGCGAGTACCTCAAGTTCTTTGTCTTCACAGGCATGACTCTGGACCAAGCTCTCAGGTGGGTGTTGAGCCCTCTGAGGGCAGGCCTGGTGTGCAGAGCCTCCTCTACGCCTCCTCAGCTTGTGCCTCCCCTAAGCTGCCCTGACATTAACCTTCCCAAGCTGGCTGGGCATGGCCTAGAGCCAGGGCTGCCTGGTCAGGGGACCATGGATGGGGGTGACATGCTCTCTCTTCTTTCCTCCCCAGGGTATTTCTGAAGGAGCTGGCTTTAATGGGTGAAACCCAGGAACGGGAGCGTGTGCTGGCCCACTTCTCCCAGAGATACTTCCAGTGCAATCCTGGAGCCCTGTCCTCAGAGGGTGAGGAGGCCAGGGGCAGGGCTTTCCTGGCTGTTCACTGAGGCAAATGGGCATTATGTGTGTGCATAGGAGCATGACTGTGTATGCAGGAATGAACAAATGCACAAGCTTGCAGGCATGCGAACTTGCATGTGTGCAGACAGTTCTGACATGGCTGCATCAATGTGGAACTATGCGTGCGGGCAGGCATATTGTTAGGGTCTAGCATGTGTTGTGAAAGGCAGGTGGCAGGTGTGTTTGTGTGGCAGGTGTGTTTGCATGTCGTTGTTCACATACATGGGCATGACAGTGCTTGTCTTGAGTGGAGATTCTGTTTGGCTGCATTAGTCTGCAAAACTGTGTGGGGCCCACTTGCTTGCATTTAGTGCAGCGACGCAGAGGCATGTGGCTGTTAGGGAGCAAGCAGTGGGCAGCCCCCAGCACCATAGGGAGCTAGGGAGGGTGAACTGAGAAGAGTAAGGTCCCTTCTGACAGATCTGCTGGATGAGAGTCTTTGCTTAGGGGGCAGTTTGCTACTGGGGTTCAGGACTTACAAAAGGATAGTTGTGGGCCAAAGGGGGTCTTAAAAGGGGGCAAGGGATGAGCTGGAAGGCTGGGGAAGATAGCTATGGGAAGAGTCCCTGGGAGGTCACTGAGGTTGAATGTCAATTCTCCCCTAGATGGTGCACACACTCTGACCTGCGCCCTCATGCTACTCAATACTGATCTCCACGGACACGTGAGTGGGGTCTGACGGGAGGGACCCTGGAAAATAGACCCCATCCAGAGATTTCAAGGCCTGGGAAGTGAAGGGCACTCCCCAAGTTCACAGGCCTCTGTTCCCTTCCTTAGAATATTGGAAAGCGCATGACCTGTGGAGACTTCATCGGGAACCTGGAGGGCCTCAACGAAGGCGGAGACTTCCCCAGGGAGCTGCTCAAGGTTGGGGGCGGGGCAGGATACAGGTTGCTGGAGGGGAGGGATAGGGGGGACCTATCGGTGTTCCAGGGAGGTGAGGTGAAGGGCCCAGCGGCCCCCCAGCTCCTGCTGAAAAAAAAAGCTGAAGGAGCCTCGACTCTTGTGACTCAGCCTGGAGGACCAACCCCTCTCTCCAGCCCCACACACAGGTTCTCCAGGTACATGCACACTCGTGCGCAGTCTGGCTGCACAATGAGGGGAGGGAAGGTGGCTCTTGAAAACACATGATCAGGAGGCCCTGGACCCTGCATTCGCCTTCATCAATGCCCCTCTCCAGTGTTCACTGAGGATGGGAGGTGTCCCTGCACGAGGGTGGGGTAGGTGGCACACAAGTACACTGCTTCTCTCCTTCCCAGCCACTCGTTCGCCCCAGGGTATACCATCACTAAGGCCATCCTGGTTCTACTGCCAGAATGTAGAGGGGCCTGAGAGGAACAAAAGCTTTTTAAAGGTCTGGCAATGAGCCAAACTAGCGCCAAACTAGGACTAGATACTGTGCTTCTGGCTCCTTTGTGGGCAGGCCCAGTGCCCTGGCACCAGCACTTGAGGGGTTAGCTGCCCAGGGACTGGTATGAATGGGAGGAGGAGGGGGCGTCCTGGTCCCATGGGTTCACTCCTCTCCCTCATGGGTGGTGTTTCATCCTGGGAGGCCTGAACTCGCTTCGAACCCCCAGGGTTGGCAAAGGGATCTCTTAGCCACCACATAAATGTGCACAGGAGTGTTATTGAGCTTATATGTGAGCTTGGGTTGTGTGGGGTTTCTGGGTTTGGGAATGTGTCTGATTGGGGGTGTCCATTGTGAGTTGAGGGTATGCTTGAGTTGTATGTGTCTGATTTAGGGTATTGGTGAATCAAGGGGGTTTGTCTGAGTTAAGACGTGTTTGTGCTTTAGGGCTTATTTAGAGTGTGTGTATGAGTTGGGGAGTAGGTTGGGTGTTTACGTGTGTTGGAGTGTACTTCTGTGAATTGGCTGTCTTACGACATGTGTCTGTGAGTAGAGGATGTGTGTTTGTGGGTTAAAGACTAAATTTTGAGGTGTGCATCTGAATTTGTAGTGTTCGTGAGTAGAGATGAATGTAAATTGGTGCATCTGGTTAGTTGGGTGTATATCTTTAAATTGGGGTGTGTGTACATGGGTTGGGCTATATACATGGGCGTTCGAGGTATTTGCGGCTCAGTGAGTTGGAAGAGGACAGTGTGCTTCCCAGGCTGCCTCCGTCCTGTGCTGTCATCTCGCCTCATGGCCCCTCCTGGTTGGGTAAAAGAGGGCCGCAGGGAGGCGTTCGGATATCCGCCTCCC